ATTTTTTGGGTTACCAAAGACATGAAAATATGTAGACGACTCCTTGTGAAATCTCCAACATTAAGCGTGGACCAACCTTTTGATTTTTGAATTGCACAGCGATACCTTCCTTCTTAGTAACCTTTTTGTCCTCCTTACAATCCTGTGAAGTTAAGTTCATGGTTGAGTAGAATATTTTTCCTGGGCCATCTGTAATCATTGACCCAAACTCAACCAACATGTTTTTGCTGCTTTCTGTGACAGTATCCAAAACTAATTTGCAAAGATGTGCACAAATTATTTTTCAGATCTACTTTGAGGATCAGAAATACCTACTTGAATTTACCTTGTAGGGTCTTGCTTGTTGCCAGTTATAATATCTACTGCAGATATACCTTCGCTGAACTTGACAGCTTTCAGAGAAGGATGGGACAGACAGGAGGAGAGGAGAAGGAGGAGGAAAAGAGAAACTGGTGGCAGCAGCAGTGTAGATGAAGGAAAAGAAAACATATTTTCTATAGTGCCTATTGCCAGCTTTTAATTTTGCTCCAGTTGTCGCAATATTGACTGGATTTTTTTTTTTTTAAACTAGGGTTAAGGTGCAGTTTGCTGAAAGCATGAAATCAACAAACATATTTAGGTTCTAGGGCCATGGTTTAACATTTCCCAAGATAAGTTTTATCATCCATCGCCAATTTTCGTTCTTTAGTTAAATGTTAACATGAGCCTTCATGTCTACTTCAAAATCCTACCTCCTATCCTGGGAAACCTTCAGCAGAGACTTCAACCTTAATCCAGAAGGAAAACAGTGCCTATGAACAAGTAACAAAGTTCTTCAGTCAGAACTGAAGAAGCTTCTTGGATGAGAAGCGAAACATCTTCAAGGAAAACCAAAGGCCAGTTGCCTTTTGAATAAGCACCTTTGGGACAACCATGACCTGGATGACTGAGAATCTCCATGGACAATAAGTAACACCATTTTCTTGGCAATTACTTCCTACTACCTCTTTGCTTTGGTTACATCATATAAGACAGAGGTCTCTAAACTTGGCAACTTTTAAGACTTGTGGACTTCAACTTCAATTCTGGGAGTTGAAGTCCACAAGTCTTAAAGTTGCCAAGTTTGGGGACCCCTGATATAAGAGAAGGAGAATTCACCATCTCCTAAGATATAGTCTGTTCCATTATTGAATGGTTCCTACTTTTAGGACACTTTTTCAATTTACAGCTAAAATTTAGTTTGTAATCAATTCATCCTTTGATTTGTTCTGTCCTGTCTTCAACTGTTTTGAATAATACCTCCTTATATGTGACATACTTCAGATGCTTGAAGACAACTGACATGTCTCCCTGTGGTCTTTTCTAGACTAAATACACTTGATATCTCCAACCATTCCTCCAGCTTGGTTGCTTTCCTCTGGACACACTCCAGTCTGTTAATGTCCTTTCTAAAATATGTCTAAACCTGAATGCAGTATTCTAGGTATGGAATGACCAATGCAGATTATTCAAAAGCAACAACTTCTCTTGATATTGATGCTATTTTTCTGTGGATGCAACAGGATTCCATGTAATTTTTTGCAGCTGTATCATATGATTGGGTCATATTCAGTTTCTGAGTCACCAAGATACCCAGTTCCTATTTGCGTGTGCTGCTCTTTCTGATCCTGTATTCATATGTTTGATTTTCTTATTTGATTTTCTTCGTTGAAATTCAGTTTGCTTCTTTCTGCCTGATGTGTCCCTACTTGATCCTGCAAAATCTTGATATTATCCTCTATGACATTTGCTAAGTCCCATATCCATCACAACTTAACAGATTTTGTGGCCAACAACACAGTGTCTAGAATGGACCTCTCCTCTTTGCTCTTTGACTCTTCAGCTTCACAAGAAACCCTTGGTATAACACCCATCAGATGCAGTTGCTCTCTGTCTATTGAATGGTGACCTAGTCCAGTCCACATGTTATTTTTTTTTCCTGTCAGAATCTCATACTTAATAATCTGTTCCAGAATTTTCTTAGCTGTTGTCATCCTTCCACTTGAGATAAGAATTTAGCTTTTATTTAGATTAGGCAACCTGATCCTTAAACCTGAAATCAAGGAGGAGTCAATAGCTACTTGGGTCTTCCTTGCATTGACTGGTTTTGTTTTCTTGTTAACCTAGATTCAATGCATGTTTCCAGAGGTAAATCAGGAGTATGTCCTGTGATCATTCAGCAGGTAGGGGCATTGCTCACTCATGGAAAGTGATCAGGAAAGTGCAATCTTGATAAACAGTGAGCTCTTAACAAGACCGCATAGGTCAGTTAATTCACATCAGTTTCTGCAACCTACATAGATTCATATCTTGGCTAACAGTGCCCAGCTCTCTGAGCCATCAAGTTAATGAAGCTCCCTCAAAATATTTGGAGGCTATCAGATCATCCATTCTTGCGATACATTATAGTCCATCAAAAAGTAGTATGTGCTGACCATCAGTTATCATTCTAATCATGCCCTGAACTTTTCAACCAACCCCTTGATGCCCAAATCTGTATCTCTGGCTTTTCCCCTCCCCTCTTACTCAATGAAAGGTTCTTTGGGATTCCTAACAGAGCAAATGAAAAGTTTTCCATTAACCAAGGCCAGAGCCAGAGGGGCAGTGTCTGACTTCAGATGGCCAATTTGAAGTGTAAGGGTGTACTTATCTATGGATTTATTTCTGGATATTATACAGTGACCTTGAGAACCAACCCCAAGGGTATCCATCCAAAGCAAGGTCTGAGTTTAATTGGGGGGGGAGCAGTTACCTTGTAGGTTTGGGGATGTAAATTTGGTATGCTTTTTTCTGATAATTTACCTCCTTCACATAAGAACAAGGTTTGTTGCCTTTTAACATTGGAAATCTCTCTTAGACTTTCTGTTTCTCTTTCTTCCAATTTGTTTCACATACAAATAGGACTCAGCCTCTAAGAGATCCTTCCGTGGTTTGCAGAGTGAGCATGTCTAAATATCTCTGCTTTTGCAGAAGTTTTAAGACTTCAGGTTCGTTGTTTCAAAGAGTCCCTGTTTATCGATGGCAAAGAAATAGAAAGCAGTATGGTACTACTTTCTGTGTTGTATCATACGGAGTATTTCGAGTTCTACATGTATCGCAGTTGAAGAGTATGAAAAAATATTTACCTTTAAATGGAAACTCTTGGCACTTCAGTAATGCGGAGGAATAATCAAAACTCTGCAGATCACTTTAAAAGGCTCTGGGGCTACTGTATTTTGGACTATCCATTGGGCCACTTCATTCTTTGTTGCTTTCGTACAGATATGGAGGTTACATTCCCGCATAAGTCAGAATTACAGTTTGGATTTGATGGTTCACAGTGCAGTTTTTTTGAAATCGCGGCGCTGTTACATTCAGAAAACCTGGATCAACTTTTTTTTGTTGCAAGAGAGGTCTTGCAGAATAATCTTTATCTACTGTTAGTGGAATGCAGATAAACAGGGTTAAGTTTTTGAATTCCAATGGAAGATGAGCCGAGCGGCATTTTCCAGGCTACAGTGCAGGTGTGAACATTGTTAGTCTTCTTATGGACCTCTCTGAAGTTTGCAAATCAAGTATAAAAGTAAATCTGGTGCTATGGTATTGTGCTTACTTCTAGAATACACACACACACACACACACACACACACACACAGAGCGAGAACCATACACTATGAGAAAACGCACTCAACGTTGTATGTTTAGATGGAATTTTTCCTAGCTATTTGGTAAAAATGCAGATTAAAAACAAAACATGAGAGAATGCATGTAAGAACAAACACTAAATGTAACACTGTCCAGAAACAATATGCCTTTTTCCTACTCATTTGGGATGAATCATTCCAGGATCTTGCTCAAAAGCCCAGCCACAACAATCACTTTTTTGGATAAATCTAGTATGAACAATGAGTGTATATGGCTAATGGCGTTGTAACAAAATATGGTGGTGGGGTGGGGCTTAGCTCTCCATATCCAGTCCTACTGGACGGACTCATGAAAGCATACAGGGCTTGTAGAGTGCAACCTACAGTTCTGCCCTGAAGTATCTAATTGGTCCTGTGGCTCCTGAGTTTCCCTGCTTCTCATTGGCTGCCTGTGAAATTGTCCCATTTCCTTGCATGCTTTTCAACCCCTATCTTTAGTAATCCATTCTGGATATGTTTTGTCTGCAGTGACACAATGGCCACAGCCCGTGGCAGGTCAGATTAGTGCAGTTTCTCCCCCCCCCCTTTTTTTTAAATCTAGGTAATTCCATCCAACTGTATTCGTGTGCAGGTAGCCCTTGACTTATGGCCATAATTAAACCCAGAATTATGTTCATAAATTGTGTTCATTAAGCGAGTCTCCACGTCACCGTGCCTGATTTTACAACCCTTTTTACACCAGTCGTTTAAGTGAACCCAATGGGTTTTTTTGTTTTTTTTGCTGGAAATCAGAAATAAAACACTGAACTTTGGAACTGGGTTGTAAGTAGCTGTGTGGAAGTCCATTGTAACTTTAAACGGTCGCTAAAGGACCAATTGTAAGTCAAGGACTTGCCTATAACCTAGGTAAGTTTTCCCAGTCTTCCCATAATGTCAATGACGGAAGAGCATGCATGGATTGGTCAATATTTGTGGATCTATAGTGCCACCTGCTGGTTTCTCCTGAACATTGAGAGAAAAGGAGGCAAGATTCACCCTCTTCATTATTTTCATAAGCTCTGACAAAATGAAGTCCTTTCCCCAAAGCTGACTTATCGACGGCAATAAAGCAAAGAAGAGAAGAGATGTATTGATGGCTGATGGATCCATGTTGTTGTCCCACTCTATGTAAAGTACAATTGAGAATGTGAAAAAGGATTCTTTTTTTTTTTTTTAAAAAAAGTTGATTATTTCTGACTAGTCATCATCCAAAGTCCCTGTGATTAGCTTGCCAAAAATGCTTACCTCAGGGGGATGAAAAGTTCTCCTGAGCTGCAGACCTGCAACAAGTTCTTATTGTAACTATTCTTCTGTTTGTAGTGTTGGTGTCCAAATCCTCTCCAAAGAAGCCTCGTGGCCGGAGCATCTTCAAGGCTCTTTTCTGTTGCCTTCGTGCACAGAATGTGGGACAGACGGCCTTTGGCAACAATCATGGGCTGCATAAGGAAGAGACAAACACCATTGCCAAGGTGAGGAAAGTGTGCAGGTGCGCTGACAGCTGATTCCGTCCACTTATCCAGAGGGTTTGCAAATGCAGCAGCTAGTGGGCTTGGGAACTACTTTATCTACTTCCTTTTTCTTTCTGGATTCTGGCATGCCAGCTGTTAAATGGGTGTCCTTAGGATTTAACCTCTACCTGCATCCCCAGGCATCAAATACTCACCTTGCTATTCTGTCTCTGAATGTCCTTTCTTGCTTTTAATTTTTCCCCGCCTGTGTATCTCTCCATTTTTTGGTTACGTAAACAAACCCTTGGTCCTGTGCTCCTGGGAAAAAAAAACACCCCGCCAGTTGCTCTTTCTTTTGTTCTTTTATAAAATTGCCTGCAGCAGGAAAATACCTGGTTGTCTTGAAAGCAATTGTTTTTAGAATTGTTTTGGAAATCACGGCAGCTTTTCCTAACCCAACACTTTTGTCACTATGTAAGGACGGAAATTCCCAGAATTTGCAACTGGAGATGTTGAAAGCTGCCGTCTGAACACATCTAGAAAATGCCAGTTGAGGAAAGCTGTGGTATCTGTACTGGTATCTATGCAGAGTGCTATAATATAGAAAAAGGAAATAAATTGCCCATATTAAGATTTCTCTGCTTCTCCGTGGGTTGGGAAGCCACAGCTAGTCCCGGAAGAGTAGAACAGTGAAAAGCAAACCTGTTTTATCTAGAAATGGACTTTGTTCTATTTTCTATAGTTGTGTAAGCAGACAGAAAATTCCTTAAATATTACAGCTGATAACATATACTGTTATTTTTTGGAGTATAAGACACACTTCCCCCTTCCCCCCCAAAAGTGGATGGAAATGTATGTGCATCTTAGACAGCGAATATGGGGAATTTTTGGCCTCCCAAAGTCTCCGTGAGTCCCATTTTTGCCCTCCCCAGCATCCAGAGGCACTCTGCAGGCCAAAAACAGGCGCGTTTTAACCCTTGGGATCCATGGAGACCAAAAATGGGTGCGTTTTTGGCCTGTAGAGTGCCTCTGGATGCCGGAAAGGGCAAAAACAGGACGCACGGAGGCAAAATCTTTTTTTCTTATTTTCCTCTTCTAAACCAAGGTGCGTCTTATAGTCCGATGCGTCTTATACTTCGGAAAATATGTTATTATCCCTTCTTTAAAACTACACAGTTTAGTTGCCTCGTCATCTCTGCACTGTGGATAAATATATCTTCGTTAAAAAAAAAAGAGGACATTAATTTTCACTATTAAAGGAGGGGGAGGGAAAACTTTCATTATGCATAGCAAGGACGAGGAACCTTTTTGAGGGCGGAAGCTCTTAAAATCATGTGTCATCTGCTTTTCCCTTCTTTTTTTTAAATTTGGCCCGTGGTTGACTAAGATATAAACCTAACAGAGATGCAGTGCACCTATTTTGCTTGTGATTTCTTTATTTTGAAAAACGCCTGTAGGTAAGAGCACTGCTTGATTTCCGTCTGTTGCCCCAAATATCTGCAGCACACTGAAATTAGGGCTGCATTAAGAGACTTAAAGTTCCCTTTGTGTATTAATCTAAAACATCCTCTAAGCTTTTCAAGCATGTAGCCCCTGTAATTTTTCAGACTCCCTCAGCTACCCTTTTCTTCTCGTGCCATGGCTCTTCTGGGTGAGAAATATATATGATAATGTGTGAAACCAGGCTGTTCCTTGACAGAGGTTTTGCTGAAATCCCCGAAGAATAGTATCACAGTCTCATCTTTCTCATAAACCTACATCTTTGCTCTCCTCTTTTTTCCCCCCTTTTAGTCTGATCTGTTGCAGTGTCTTCAATACCAGTTTTATCAGGTATGTGTTTGTTCTAAAGGCAAGAGAGATCTGCGTATGCTCTTGAGCTAAGTCTTCCTTTGCCCTCTGGAAATAAATGGCAGGTGTAGGGAGTTTTTAACCTATCGAGAGAGAAAAATCTCCAGTAAGGGGCAGCAAACAGTGGCATTCAGGGGTCCTTTTTACTGTGAATCAAGTAAGAGTTCAATGTTTCTGCTGGTTTAACATCGCCAGTATTTTCAGGGAGGCTTATTTTGCAGTTAACTTTAATTTGATGTGATAATCCGAATAATGTGTGTGGCAGCAAGGAAGGAAAATAATGTAGCAGATATCCAGCTGTACCTTGGTGGTAACACCCTTGCCTCTCTGTGTGTACGCGCACTCACACATTTGTATATGGGAACAAAGGAAAATGATCCTACTCTGACTAAGCAAATTTCTGCTCCTGTGAAAGAGGTGGTGGGGTTTCCGCTTGCCTTCCTGTTGAGAGCAAATTTCTGAGAACAGGAATGTGGCATGGTGTAATTCACACCAACAGCAAATGTGTTAATGAAGCTCTCCTCTGTCAGTTGCTGTTGAGCATTCATATTCCTTCATTCAGAGTAGAGTTTGGACTACAACAAGAGCTTATTTATCCTTTGTAGGAAGTTAATATTCCCAAGCCATTTCTGCAGCCAGAAATGATAGAATTCAGACATGGGTTTATCAATAGTTTTGTGTAAATGAAGTCATCGAGACAGCTGGGAATATCTTGTGGAAGTGTTTTCCCCAACACAACAATTTGGGGTTTTGCAGAACATATTCTTGAATGCAAACTGCTGCTCCTTCTTTGGTGTGTATACATACGCACTCTCTTTCTCTGCTTTGTAGAGATGACCTGCCACATACCAGCAACATGGATCAACATGTAAATTGCTCCTGGAAAACGTAGCTGTCTGTCAAATAAATAGAGACAGTTTCCCCTGGAGCTTAAAAAATTAAAAAATAATGAATGAAGAGAAGTTGTTCCTGTTTGCCTGAAAATTTGCGAGTTCTGTTGAATGTTAGGAGAAATATTGTAGTGAATAGAAACGTGAGACAGTGTTCCCACAGGCTCGGTATATATTTCTTTCCTAAAAGTGGCAGCAAATCGTTTTTAGGGCAGGGGTCAGCAAACATTAATAAAGATATAATATATTTATTAAGTATAATAAAACAGTATAAACAGAAAAATACATTTCAATGCTAAAAACAAAGACAGGTAAACTAAATAAAAATATCCAATTAATACCATTTGTAGCATTTATAGGTCAATTTATAGCACAATAGTAGACTTAATTTTTTTTAAAAAAATAAATAGATGAACTGCAAACGGCAGTGACTACTTTGAAAAGGTATCCAATTGTTTGCTGTAAAAAATTTTAATATGTTGACACAGTATGCAAATTCAAGGCATATTCACCTATTCATAACTGGCTTTGGCCAAATTCTGAAAAGTACCTGTCTGAAAGAATACATAATGGAAATCACTTTGCTTTTAGAAAGTTTTAGAAAAAAGAATTGAAACTTAACTGGACAATGGTACATCCTTAGCCTAAAAATAAAGTCATTGAGGCTTTAATATGGACATGAGGTCATTATTGGATGGAGAAAGAGACAATGGCAAGATATAGGGAGCCTAGAGTATATAACACTGGAATTATTCTGTGTTTTAAAAAGCATTGTATTAATTGTACTCCTACGTTAAAAATAAGCGTTGATTAAAAATACATCTGTTAGTTAATGGGAAGAAAAGCATTTTTGAGATACAGGTCATTGTTGACTTAAGACCAGAAAATTTGTTGTTAAGAAATTCATTCATTAAGCAAGGTATATTCCATGACTACAACTTGCAACATTCCCTGCTGGCTTCCCCATTGATTTTGAAACCAGCTGCGAAGGTCTCAAATGGTGATCACATGACCCTTGGATGCTGCAGCCACCCTAAATGTAAGGCCCTTGCCAAGCACGTAAATTTGGATCACTTGAGACCCGAGGACACAGTTATTAGTGCAAGGGCCAGTTGTAAATCACTTTTGTCAACACCATCATTTCAAACAGGGGCTAATTGAATGGTCATAAGTCAAGGGTACTTGTATCTTTATTGTGGGAGTTAAGGATCTCTAGAGGTCTAAAACCTGAGGTGATATGCAAATTTTAAATATTAGGCCTAGGGTGTTATTTTGTTTTGTTTTGTTTTTTGCTTTTTGGCCATGCTGTTTTTCTGTGCAAACAGACTTAAAGTTCTTAGAATAACTTTATTGTCACTTCGAATGTACACTAATCGGCATACATTAAAATGCAATTTCATTGCATACAGCTCTCAAAGGGTCACCACCTCCAATATACACTACATAAACATGACTAAATAAATAGCTAAATACAAAATTATGCATATACCCATATATATTCTATGACACAGAGAAATAACACAGTCTAGTCCGGTTATATACATGTACATGGCAAGAAAAACGAATAAATGCGAGTTTACCAGACAGACGGCACAGACAACAAAGCTAATACGGAATCTGGTAGTCCTGCTAGCAATACTTTGAAACCTCTTCCCAGGGTGGATTAGTTGCTGAAACAAGAACTTTCCAAAAGGCAAAATATTGTACTTGTTAATATAACTGCATGAAGCTTGTTAAATGTGCCTCCCGACAGCATCTTTTTTATATATATATATATGCTGCCCAGAAGCATTTGGGAATGCATGGCATATAAAGCAGGGCAGGGCAGAAATTTAGAATGAAAGGGAGATATGGGATATGATGCATGAGACAGGGCTCGGGTAAGATTTGCATACATGTGTTCCTTAAAGCAGCTGCATCTGTTCCAGGCAATTGCAGCTTGATGTTGGATTGAAAGAGTTGCTGACAGTTGCAATGTTCGTGCACTTTTGAACAGCTGTAAGATAAAGTCCCAAAATTAAAACTTGTAGAATAAAAGCAGGATACAACGCATATCACAAAATGTGGTTCTTGCAGCCGGCGGAAGCTAAGCTTATGTTTCTTTTTCTAGATTCCTGGAACATGCCTTCTCCCTGAGGTGACTCAACAAGACCAGGGCCGAATATGTGTGGTGATTGACCTGGATGAGACCTTAGTGCACAGTTCCTTCAAGGTGAAACCCTTGAGTAGTTCCCTGATTGTTTTGTTGCATAATGGATAAACAAGTACAAGACGACCCAGAGGGCCTGCTAAATCAGGGGAATATCTGATTTAAATTTCCTTCCTCCTGTTTGATGCCTTTAAATTCTATTGGCCGATATGCAGGTTAGTCTTTGACTTACGAGTCTAATAGAGTCTGCTCATCATGGTCATGAGTTGTAATGGTTGCAAAATGGGTTGGTCACGTGACTGGCCCATGGTCCGATTCTATGACCTTTTTTTGCAACAGCCGTTAAGTGAGTCCATTTTTAAGTGAGCACTGCGTCGTTAAGCAAAACAATGGTTTGCTATGAGCACAATTTTGCCCCAAATCTGGGAGAGCCAATTTTCTGCAAAATGATAGTAAAAAGTGGTTATGAGATTGCAGGATGCTGCAAACAACTGTGAATTCAGCCGTGTTGCCGAGCACCCATAGTTCAGCCATGTGACCACATTGGCTGACCATTGGAGCTTCAAAGTCTATTCATAAGTAGCTCCGAGATAGATTTTTTTGTAACTTCAAATGGTCACTGAACAACAGGAATTAAGCCTAGCACAACCCTTATCATACTGAAAAGGTTCAGCACATCTCTTCTGTGATATTCTTACTAAAGAAGATCAAAGTTTACTCCATCATTACAACTACATCGCTAAGCCCCAAGTAGTAAGAGCAATGTTAGAAATTATGAGTCCTTAGGGGGGGCACTGTGTTCCTTACTCTAGGTCAGTGTTTTTTAATCTTAGCAATTTAAGATGTGTGTACTTGCAAGACCCAGAATTCTCCAGCCACCATGCTGGCTGAGAAATTCTGGAGGATGAAGCCCATGTATCGTAAATTCACTGAGATTAAGGAACACTGAATTATATAACAACAAATTTGTGTTGGTGGCTCCCATCAACAAATGGGAAGAATCTGTCAGAAGTTAGCATGACTAAACGATGCCTGACCCATCAGGAATTTAGGGTTTTGATATATATTGCTTGAGGCATTTAAGATAGTTCTTTTTTAAAAAAACAAGAAAAAATGCAGAATCTTGCAATGGAAATGGAAGCAAAGCCCTATTAAATAACATTAAAAAAATCCTGGGAAGAAGTCAGGAGCCGCCTGTAGGCAGAAAATTTGGGAAGGGGGTCCTGCCAGGGATGGGGACATGAGCGCAAGGTTTGTTTGCCAAATTAACATGTTCCTTTTAACAAAATTCTCAGCCAATCAACAACGCTGATTTCATTGTGCCGGTGGAGATAGAGGGAACAACTCATGAGGTAAGCCTCTTGCTCTTCACAGTTGGGAGTTAGATGGGTTTGGCGCTATTTTGCTTCTGGCACCAAGTGTGCATTTAGGTCTCTTCTCTTAGCCAAGACCACCTGCAAAAGAGAAGAGGAGGAAGGCCTGCGGTGAAGGCCTCAGCCTGGTTCAAGTAATCCAGGATAGGCTGTTACCAGGCAACACGGCCTATTCTTGATTACTTGTTTCAGGAGGCGGCTTCTTGCAACCAAGGAATGATGTTCCACCATAGTGACCTCCCTGATTGGATGATGCAACAGCAGGAGCTTCCAGAGAGGAAAAGTCACCAGGTGAAGAATGGCAGAGACCACCATTGGGACTTAATCTACATTTGTTTCGGTTCTCTGCTCCCTAAAATGTCTGAAATAGGAGCTACATAATCCTGCAATTGGTTTCTGATAACCTAGCTATTCCTTACCTATCAACAAGAGACGGTGTTCTTGCAATTGACTTGGCAGATTTTAAAATGGTAGGCTGTAGCAAAGGTTGGAAATGTAACTTAAAAGATTCTGCAGATTGTCATAAACCAGCCAGTTAGTGCAGCTTCTTAATAAGCAAGGAACCGCCCTCTTTAAAATAAGTAAAGGTACTTATATGACCTTTACTCTACACCATCCAGCAACTTGTCCTCTTGCTTCTTTGGGGAATGTCTTTTATAGGGAATATATAGCTGAGTATAAAGCAGTAGCTTGAATGTACCTTGCTTGAGGTCTATGATAGCATATCAGCTTGCTTCCAAGAGTAAATATAATTATATGATGCATGGTTCCTGTTCAAATGATATACTTCCTTTTAGGATTGGTCCTTCCTGCCTTTTTTATCTTTATAGAAAAATCCTGTGAAATACCTTAGATTAAAATATGGTGTCTTCTGTTGAGTGTAGTACCTGAGTAGAGACTTGAACCAAGGTCTCCCTGTCCAAGGCTGATACCTTAAACCAGTTCATCATCTGGCTTTCATTGGTGACACTGGGGAGGTACCAGTATGCGGTTCCATCATAGCGATTTGCCCTTCTTCCCTTTCCTTCCCTTCCTATTTTATTTGTTAGATTTATATTCCACGTTTCCTCCAGGAGCTTCTCACCTCTTGAGATGATCAGACACTGAACGTCAAAGGCAACCTTCCAAAACATCGGTATTTTCAAGACGCATTGGGAATGCAATTCCCAGATTTTTATTTTTTTAAAAAAAAGATTTGATGCAGCCATTCCAGAAACTTAGGCTGAGATCACTTATTATGTTTGCAAAGTTAGATTTCCAGTCCTGCTAAAGTTTTCCCCTACCCTTCATTCATTTTATTGAGCAAACACAGATCTCTGTAACTGGATGCTTGCCAAATAATAATATGAATAGAGTCTGGAAATGCTGTTATACTCCCTACGTGACTTGCTGCCCCTATGTGTCAGACCCTGAGGGATAGAAGAAGGCAGGGCAATGAAGGGAAGAGTGTGTGGTGGGATAGATTATGAAACAAGAGTTATGGGTTGGATCTCTGACCAGAGAAAAGACAATGTCTGCATTTATTGCGATCTGGGGAAAAAAACCCCTTATAGACTTTTTGACTGAAACAGGAAAAAAAACGAGCTTATGATCTATGGATTTGTTGATTAGACAAGATATATAGAAAGAGAAAAGCTATGTAGTAACCTTAAGAGTAAGAGGTACATTTATAACTGGACTTACAACTGCTGTAAAGAAGACTGAACCTTATTTCTTTGTATTCTACTTTTCTTTTACTTTTATTTCCTTTCTTGCATTTTTAGCTTTTTCTTTAATTTCTTTCTTTTGTTTTTCTCGCTTATATTAGTTGGTATTCATTTTTAATCTTCTTTTAAGAAAACATTTAATAAAAATTATACAAAAAGGGGTTATGTGTTGGAGAAGCGATTCTGCCAACTTTTTTCCACCTTCCATTTCCACCCTTAAAATATTTGCCATGCTTTGCATATTTTGGCAACGCTGGAATTAAGCCTGACCTTCAGCTATTCGAGTTCTAAAGCACACTGCAGATACAAGCAAGTACTTTATATACCATCTCCTCACATTTCTGTTAATCTCTAGGTGTATGTGCTGAAGCGGCCATTTGTAGATGAATTCCTGAGGCGGATGGGGGAGCTGTTTGAGTGTGTGCTCTTCACTGCCAGCTTAGCTAAGGTGAGTGGGTTCCAGATAGCTTTGCCGAACATGTGGCTTGTCTGGTGCTTTCAATGTTGCCTGGTGCTATAAGAAGGAATTTCTCATTTAAATTTTGTGAAATTAGTACAATGTAATTATAGATTAGCAGGGAGTTTAAATTCTTATTAATAACTAACCAGAGAAGGTTCTGCACAGACTCACAATTGCTCACCTCACATAGGTGGGGAAAATAGGAGAAGAAGGAGTATTAGCTGTGTTCACCATCTTGAGTGATTTATAAAAATGAGAGATGAGAGAGAGAGAGAGAGACAGACAGACAGACATAAGGATAGCCAATTCCACAAAACTTCACTTAAAAGAATCAATGCCGAGTAACAAATTCTGCTTTTATGAGATCTGGTCGCAGAGGCGTAGTATTCAGATTATCTTGACTGCTGGGTCCTTTCATTGTAATTGTTTTGTTTCTACACACAAAGCAGTCCCCTCATCTCTTTCTTTCTCCCTCTCCTTCTGGGTAGTATGCTGACCCAGTGACTGACCTTCTGGACAAGTGTGGCGTCTTCCGGGCCCGCCTCTTCCGGGAGTCATGCGTGTTCCACCAGGGATGTTACGTGAAGGATCTCAGCCGGCTGGGCCGTGACCTGCGCAAAACCCTGATCCTGGACAATTCTCCAGCTTCCTACATCTTCCATCCAGAGAATGCGGTGGGCTTTTTGCTCTCTAACCTTCCGTAAACGATGTTCTGATTTTGGTTAGATCTCTTGGCTGAAAAGAAACATTTTAATCTGGTTTTGGGGAAGAACTTAAAAAAAAACACAACCCATTGCATTCTTGAGCCCAATACAAGTGACGGGATGGTCTTCTTTGGGAGTGACATTCCCTCTTCAGGGACAGAAAAAAATGGGGACATGCTTCCTCTCAGATCCCTAGCCATTGTCATTGCAAGACTTTCTAGTCTTCATGTAGAGATGGCTGAGAAATTCTCTTTCAACTCCCTTCCTTTCCTTCCGCCTTTCCCAGTTTACTGAGTGCTGTTCAACCCACCAAGATTATAATCAGAAAGAATTCAGCTAATTCCCTCTTGTTGACTGGCATTCCTATAGCCCCCTGTCTAGCTTCTTGCATTTTAAAGTGGCCTCATCTCAGTAACATTTGTTTCCCTCTTTAATATTGGAAATACTTTCCCTTTTTCTTAAAGCCAGTTGCAAGCTGTTCTCAGATTTCACTCTCCAGTGTGGGAAAACTCCCACCGCTGCACTTCTTTCTAGACAGGGGTTGGGGGTTTCTTTTTCCCTTCCTTTCTCAAAACCAGAGGCCATCTGACTGAGCTGGATTGGAAGGAGAATTAAGACAGGAACCCCCCCCCCCCCCCCCCGTTTATTCACACAATCCATAAAATGATGTAGTGGAATTCATTAACACAATAGATGCTAATAGGCACTAACTTGAACAGTCTTTAAAAGGCTTGACTAAATTCCTGAAAGACAGATTTCTCAAGGGCGAATTGTCTTAAAAATCTCCACGTGGCCTCCCAACCATTTGGGAACAAGTGCCCATTACAGGTGGAAAAAAGCAGGGAGGTTTATATCTCCATCTCTAGCTTACTAGGAACCCCAGAGCATCTGTTGATCACTGTGAGAAACTAGCCTTGGACCGATCCAGCAGGGGCCAGACGGGGTGCAGCCAAAAGTTAAATTAATCGTTCTTACATTTTAATGCCACTCCTCAGATTCTAGTTTTGCCTGGGTTCTTTTTACTTCTCCAAACTATAACGCTTTGCTCCCTGCCTGCATGCTTCTGGTTGACTTCTCTTTATCTCTCTTGACTGCCCTGCAGGTGCCGGTCCAGTCTTGGTTTGATGATATGACAGACACTGAGCTGCTGAACCTGATTCCTGTGTTTGAGGAGTTGAGTGGAGCGGAAGATGTCTACACCAGCCTCGGCCAACTAAGGGCACCCTAACATTTCCCTAGTGCTGTGGCCGCTGGGGAAACTACTTTTTTTTTTTTCACTCTGTGCCTTCAGTATTGGCCAGGAGGGAAAGGGAACAGTGCAATTGCTCCCCATCACCCTGCCTACAAGGCAGATACAAGCACTTTGGAGGCAATAACCTGCCTGGCTGCCTTCTGTGCAATGCCAGAGCAGTTTCCAACCAGGGTATGGCTGGATGCTAGAGCTTCTAGCCTTTCCACCAAGAGCAGGGACACCCAAAATAACCCCACCCCATTCCCAATAGTGCTAGTATCTATGCACTGCTCCCCAACCTTTAGGGGATCCTTCCTTCCTCCTTCCCTCCCTCCCCCCCCTCCCTCCCCAAGGCAATGCCAAATGTTTTGGATGGATTCTTTAAAAGGTACATCCTCCTCACTTGCTTATACATATTCTTGGCCGTGCTTCTTACACAGCCCCCCCCAGGCGAAAGTATGTGGAGACTTCTTTCTCATCCCTTGGCGGGGGAGTCAGGATGGCCGCCTCTCCACTCTCAGATATTTCAGTTCTTGCCTGATCTTCTGATATAGAGGATCGTTCTGGGTTGTTTTGAAGTTGTTGCTTTCTTTGCCTGTTTTGTGAAGCTGCCTTTGATTCACAACCTCTGGTTCCAGGCCTCATCGCCCTGCTGGCTTTGGGAAACTCTTCCCCCACGTGTGTGTGTGTGTGTGTTTATTCGTTTTAACATTCTGTCTTGCAGTTGTGTTTTGCCTCTGATGAAAGGGGGGGGGGGGGGGCCTGGACTTAGAAAAACCCTTTGCAACAACCTCCCCACCCCTCCCCAGCACTAGTAGCACATAGCATTAGTGAGGACAAAGCTAGCCAGCCCCACCAATGCCACACTCCTTATTTGCTCAGAGATAAAGCGTCCCTGCACTCCAGCTTTGACCTGTTTCTTTTGGGGGGGTGGAGGAAGTGACTTCATTGCCTTAAACAGCACCCAGTTAGGAGGCTGCCAGGTCAGTAGGGTGCCTACTAGGGACCCAGTTCTTCCACTGTCTTTCAGTGTGAATGATTGCCCGGAAGAAGGAAGGATTCTGCTGTTCGTCCCCTGGTGGTTTTACCTCGCTTGATGACGCTGAAGGCATAACTTCCCACTCGGGGGTTTGTTCTAGGTTTCCATCATTATAACATGACAGCCCCTTAGCCCCCCCCCCTTGGATGGTGACAATGAGTTGGGGGTGAATCCAAGAGATCGTTCCATGTACGCACAAGCCTGCTTCGTATGTCGTTTGCCTTAACCAACTGCCTTGCTATCCTCTCTGTGCTGCAGCTGCTGGGTGGCAAGCAATTGTGCCACTTTTGGTGTGGCCTCTCCAATTCCCGTTCTTTCCCCCCCGCCCGCCCCCCAATGCATTCTCAAGCTGGTTCCAGCTCCAAGCAACCAAAAGTAGTTGGGAGAGTTTGTTAATATTTATATCGCAGGGAGTTTTGCCCGTGGGCATTGGTTTTGTTCTTCCCAGGATTAAGGTCCTGTGTCCTTTCGAACTGTGCCTGACATACTGTGAACATGTGTTTGTCAAGTGCCACTGGGAGCAAGGGAAACCAAATGGATCAACAGTGCCGGCTTGCTTTTTTTCCCTCCCCCCCTCCATCAATATAGTACAAGATAATCTGTGTCTAGCCATTGTAGGCCTGATAGCAAAGAGGAGAGGTAGAGTCCATGGGGCTCTTTAAAAAAAAAATGGTGCTGCCTTATTCGTTAAGGGGTGGCGGGCAAATTGCAGGTCATCTCATCACCTCAGGACCAAAGTTTTGACCTCTGCTCTTGGCTGACCAGCCAGCTGTTAGCCTGACCAACATGCTAGTTGATATTTTCATCCTCGCTTTAAGTGTGCTGATCAGTTTTCAGTGGAGCCCTGAGACTGTGTGCGTGCACACTTAGTCAAACTTCAGTCAATTCTTGAGTGGAATGGGCCCTGCTCCCCAATTTTTCCCTGACTTCATGTTTCTGGTCCCGTTTGGTCTCCCTTGCTGAGGGTCTGGATTCCTGTGTTTGGGGGAGGAGGAGAGGGATAGGTTTCCAATTTCAGACACCAACAAGGAAGTTCTTTCCCTCCCTCGCAGTTCAAGCCAGCAGCTACTTACGCACACAAATCAGAGGAGCCGTTAAACTTTGCAAAGTTAATGAATGTTGGGAAGAACAAACCCTTTTTGTTTTCCCTTCCTATTCTCACAGCTTTGTTTTTGCTTTGTGTCAGCCGAAGACCAATTGCCTCTCTCTTCCTCCCTCCCTTCCTCCTTCTCATGCCAGCAGCTGCCCCAGCCCCTTCTTCAAGACGAAACAGGTTTCTAGTCCTTTGTTGGACACAGAGGTTAGATGCTGCCCCCTGAAGGGAAGGAAGAAAAAAATAAAGAAAAGAAAAACCAATTCCTAGTAACCTTAGCCAGTGTATGGTCGTAGGTGAGAGATGCTGGGGATTGTAGTCCAACGTGCTCTACATTTGCTGCAGAAATCACTTTTTTTAAGCCTTAAAGAGGGTGGGATTACGATGAGAAGAAGGCAACCCATTTATTCTCTAAATTGCAGTGGGCAACATCGCAGTCCTGGCATGGAGGGATCTGTATGAAATGAGTGATCTGAAAAGAGGCAGATTGGGGGTGGGGGAGGTATTTGGTTTTACCAAGTGGGGGGAAAGAAAAGGGTTGCTGAGAGCCATGTGGACGTGGTGAGGAATCCCTTTGGACAATCCTGCATGGAGGGAAAAGCAGTGGTCGCAGGACTTCAGTAAGTAGCAGCACCTGCCATGTTGCCCATAAATGCTCATTCCCACTCTTGAGTCAAGATTGTAAATCATGTTTTAGAGCCATAAGGATTCCTGGGTCCAAACTACCATGTTGGGATTGTGCCTTGATTGAACCATGGTTAATGAGGGTAGAACTCCAGCCAAGAGGTGGCCCCAGCACTTTACCAGGGCCATGCCTTTAATGGCTGCCCCATATACTGACTACACTAAAGACACATACACACACAAATCTACCCACGCTTGTTATGGTACCTTTTTACATCCAGTCATGTTTGGTGCTCCCATTTCATACAAGAAATGGAAGCTGTTGGCTTTTGAAGAAAAAAAATGCCTCCAGCTTTCCCTTCTCTCCCTTCTCATTAAACTGTACAAATTTAATCACATGTCCTCACTTGCTGGGTTTTGTTTTTTTTGTTTTTTTTTTTTTTTTTTTTAAATGTTTTAATTGAAAAAAATATCCCAAAACTTGAAGCTTTGGCACTTGTTGCCATTATGAACTCTTTCTATTTTTGGAATCTTTGTATTAACTGCAATTAAAGAAATAAAAAGATCAAACGGTGTCTTTTCATTAAGTGTTTGAGTGGGTAGCTCTCTGAGGGGGAAAAAAATAAGGTTTTGTAGCTGCGCAGGTAAGTCTATAATACTCAATATCCTTTACGGTATTCAGTGGAGAAATGCACAAAGCTGCACAAAATGTGTGGTTCTCATAGAGTGACTAGCATCAGGCAATGGATGTATGCATAAAGAACCCGATGTAAAAATTGCTTTTGATTATGTTAAACTCTGTTTCAAAGTCATAATTGTTGGTTTATAAATAAAACATAGGTATACTTCTGCATTGCAACCAGATGATACTGGATGTAAGGCCTGCTTTCCATTTTCCAACCTAGCATTCTTCAGATACATCTGACAGCCCCAGTTTGCCCAACCGATAAACCAACATCTGGGTTTGGGAGGGAGAATAGGAACGTTTTGAGATATGCCTCCTGGCTTATCAATTGTGTTTTGGGGGGCTTGGAAGGCTTGCTCATCCTTTGAAGTTGCAGGAGCCTTCAGACAACCTTTATGAACCACGTAAGGATTGATGGACTCTACCTGGTTTGAACTGGAGCCAAACAAATAAGCATCACCCTGCAAAGACGGGGAAATAAATTTGAGAATTTGCTCTCCGTTGTTTCTGTTTTATATCCTTAACTTCTGCCAAAACAGATCCTGAGAGTGTTGGGAATGAAGCTCTTTTCCATCGCGATGGTTCTAGAAGTAGCTGCTCCCCTCTCGTAATCCAAATTATTTAATTGAACTTTTTTTGGTACCCTCGTTGCAGATTAGAGTAGAACTAGTGTTGGGAGAAGAGATTGGGGAGGGGGTTTCATCAAAAGGAATTGGATTTAATGTGATTGAGGTACTTGTCTGTACAAAGTTAACACTTCAGTTTTTCGTTTGTGAGGCAGAGCTGGATGAGGCAAACAATACATTAACCAGTTTGAAGAGCAGAGGGGGTGAAATGCACCTTGTAAGAGTCTGGAAGTGGTAGCTATGAGGCCCGGAAAACTGCATTTGGCTCACAAGCCAAGGGTACCCAGCTCCTCTTGATGTCTTGAATAACCTTAAGTGCAGGGAATGAGAAAAACAGCAGTTGTGTTTATTCATCCATTCAGTTTGAATGCTGTCTGATTGTAGAAGCAACATTAAAACCAACAAAAGATGGAAGAGTTCACCCACGCGTGTACAAACATAATTGCAAAAATGAGTGTAATGTGGCAGTCCAAATAACCAATATAAAACATTACAAAGCAGAACCCCATCCGCCCGATCCAAAGTCCTGGGTGAATAGCCAGGTTTCCAAGACCTTCCAGGAAGTCATGGATCTTGGGTGGAAGCCCTATTCGAAAGGGCAAGTCAGTTTTCCTGGTTCCTGAAGTACAACACAGTCAGAATGAGCCACCCTGCTGGATCACATTATGTAGGCAGAAACCAAAGAAGAGCATGGTGTTTGTTTGTTTTTTCAAATAACCAGGCTCTGGCACATGGGGCTTTGTAGGTAATAATCAGCACCTTGAAACGGGCAACGAGTCTAATTCAAAGAGCAGAAAGATGTCACGTCAGCAGGCTGTGGCAATATCACTGCTTGAAGCACTGTATTGTAGATCAGTTGAAGTTTCGAAGTGGCCTTCGGAGGCAGCCCCACGTAGAGCATGTTGCAATAATTGAGCCATGAGATGATCACACCATGAGGTGTGAGTTAAGTGATCCAGGAAAGGATACAACTGATGCACCAGATGGAGTTGTGCAAACACTGTCTTGGCCATAGCAGCTACCCGCTCTTCAAGCAGAAGCTTGTATGGGTGAGCCCCCAAGTTGCGTGCCATTCCTGGCCAGGGAGGTGTAATCCCATCAAGGAGAAGATGGAAAATCCTTTTGCCTGGACAGTCCCAACAGTCACAGCCCATTACTCTTGGTAGGTATTGTGGCCCGCCAGCTGCCAGCGGAGCTGGTGGCAGACTCGGACAGTGAGGAGGATGGAGAGGAACTTGGGCCAGTCCTGGAGACGGGAAGGCTCTGATGGGTGCTCTGTGTTGGATGCTGGAGCCGTCTGACATTTCCCAGCTGCCTTTGGAGTCAGAGATAAGTGGGGAAGAAGAACAGCTGGAGCTTGTTCCAGATGCGCGTATGCACAGAGCTGTCAGGAGAGCAGAACAATTAAGGGGCCAACTCGGAAGGAAAGGGACATGTGGACACTGAATGGCCCTCCCATAGGGAATAAATAGCAAAAGGGGAGTGGTGGTTGCAGGAGAAAATTAGCTCATATTTCTTGCGGAAGATTCACTTATCAGAGTTCGTGCCTCACAGAGACTCCTTGCCAGGTATTTAATTTACAGCTTTGAGACTGGAAGCTCTCTGCTTGGCAACTATTTAAGGATTGTGAAGGTCTATTCTTGCAATTAACCTTTGAGAGGATTATTGCCGGGGCTTTTTCTGTGTGTGAATTCCATGAATTAAATAAAGAGGGGTTTTTCGGGATAAGGAGTCTGTTTCTTAGTTCTGCTAAACCTGGGTCAGAACAGGAGGACTGGTCTGCAGTTACTTTCTCCCCAGTCAGCCTCTAATTGATTAACTACACAGGGGGACATCTACGTTGTGCACATCATTTGGCCTTAAGTGTCTCTGCGGCAGAGTATGCTGCTCCGATTCAGGGCACACATGATCTGCACATGCGAAATAAGTTGGTGTCACCATCTATGAAGCAGCATGCTTAGTGACAGGTGGTTTGAAAACCTATACCAATTGAGAAAATATGTCCTCTCCCTTGGCATTGCCGCACCTAAGACCAGGAGAGAAGTATCTGCAGATGCCGAGCGAATGATTCTCAACATCCTCTGAATGGACTTACTGTATGCTCCTCATCTGCTGACTCAGTTCTAGGAACAACTTTATGTGCACGACAAACGTTCTTGAGGGTACACAAGAACAAAATTGAATTAAAAGATGGAGGGAGGAGACAGTTGAGCAAGGAATAACATTAAAGGAGGATATGGCCAAAAGACCTGGCCTCTCTTATACTATTTGGAGGGCCCTGAATGGGTTGAGACTTGGAGTGCCTAAGTGTAATATGCTCAAGTGGAGGGCTCTTAGCAGATAACAACATACTATGTGAATGTGGAAAGACACAAAGCCTGGCCCATCAGCTGATGTATCGACTACTACCTGAAACATGCTGATAGTGACTTATTTTTGGCCCAAAATAAATCAAGAAGGTGGCTTGATTTGATGCCTGATATGAACTGGGTGTTGGCACCCAGTAAGTGACATTTTTGTCTACAGCTTCTAAGGTCGGTCAGTTTAAAGTTGGATCTCGACACAGGAAAAGGAGGAGGAGGAGGAGGAGGAGGAGGAGGAGGAGGAGGAGGAGGAGGAGGAGGAG